GAGACCACCGGTGTAGGATGAGAGAATTTTCTCTTTTTTCTGGGCCCAATCCATGCTAACAGGGTTTGTCACTTGTCAGTGGGTCACGGTACTGAACAACATTGAGGAATGTGCTAAAACAAGCACCTATTACAAAAAAAAACAAACCCAAAACTTAACCTTGTTGACTTTGCGTAACTACCAAAACTGGGGATATGCCAGACCTGGATCCTTAGAAGACTGGCCTGGCATCCCAGCACATCTCCAGGGGCAAACTCACTGGACCAAAGAATGGGGATGTCAGGCCCAACAGTCAATACCAAGGGATTTTGTTGCATCAAGTCATGGGTTCCTTAAGTTCCTCCTCTTAATTATCGACAGTAGTTCAAATGTCCCAAAAGGAAAAAGTGCTTTCCTACATACCTTTTATCCAGAGCAGTTCCCCTTCTGCCTTTACAGTAATCATGCCAGTGCTGCCACTTTCGTAGAACTCCAGGACAGACAGTGCAGCTGAAACTTTGTCACCGGGTCACCTATCTGAGTCAATGCATCTGCAGGAACTAAACTAATAAGTGGACACCTCACCCAGGAAACCAATTTTTTTGCTCTATGATGTCCCTGGACCGGCACCACCTCTATTTCCTGTCAACAAAGCTACAACCTCTAGGTTTTGCTGAGGCCATCCTTGCATGAAAAGCCCTTGTTCGCCCCATCTCAACGTATCCCCCAGGGACTGTCAACATAGCCTGTCTAGAGATAACTCTGCCTGTGGTCCAACCCTAAAAGGGGAAGTCCATTGAAAGATCTTACTAATGCCGCCACCGAACTCTACCATTCATTAACGGGTCCAGTAACCACTGCCGACTTAGCGGCACAGAAACTTTCAATTATACGCCAGAAAACGGGAGACCCCTTTTATCGGCCCTCCACTGCTTTCACCACTTTAATGCAAAATACTTTTGCAGCAGAAATTTCAGCATCAAACAAATTTTGGGGGTTTGAGGATCTTCAGCATATCTACAATTACCCACTGTGGAAGGGGCGATGCTCTATCACTTACGTTTCCCTTATCTAACTTTCACATGGGCTAACACGTCTCTCCCTTTCCCCGTGTACCAGCGTAGCAAGATTCAGCTAACAGCAAGACCCTGTATTCCCTTAAGTTTACTACTGCCCTCTCTATGGGGATTATCATGGTCAGCTACGGGAGGTAGAGCCTCGACATCCAGCATAACCGGTTTGAGGAGATGACGGTGGCCCTCCCACGAACGGCAGAGGGCCTCCCTACACTTCAACAGCAGCTGGACTCCCTAGCCATTATAGTCCGACAAAACCGAAAAGCCTTCAATCTTCTCACAGACGGTCAAAGACACACGTTGGTATGTGAGAGATGAATGCTCTTTTTACATCAATCAGTCTGGTTTAGCCCAAGAAAATATCAGAAATGTCATCACCCAGGCAAACGAAATGAACACTTTAGGAACTTCCATGGGAACTGGAAGCATTAGCTATTGTCTGCTCTGCTCCCTTTAACATTGCCAGTCGTTAACATACTTTTAGCTTTGACTTTTGGTCCCAGTGTGTTTAAAATGCTGATTTCTTACTCTCTTGCTTACAGCTTCTCCAGGTCCATATGATGGTCTTGCAAGGCTTTCAACCTTGGGTTGCTAATGAGCTATCTCATGTCTTGCCCACCAGTCCAGTGAAACATGTGGTTCCCACCCTGTAGGATCAGGCAGGAAGAGACGTTAGGGCCCAGGCTAGGCAGGGAGAATGCTCAACTCAGCAGGAAACAGCGTTAGAAGAACATTAATCGACCTAAAACAACACACGTGTATTATCCACAGTTCTGCAAGTCAAGACCAGGAAGGCTCAACCGGCCTCTCTGCTGAGTCTCTCCCAAGGCCAACTCTAAATGGGCCGGCTGGGTGCTAATGTGGAGATTGTGGAATAATCCACTTCCGAGCTTATTCAGGTTATTGCTCATTCGGATCTAGTTCCTTAAGGTGGTACGAGTGTGGTTCCCATGTTTTGGTTGGCTGTCATCCAGGGACTGCTTTAAACGCTTAGAGCCACCCTATACCTTCTCGGGAGCACTGCTTTATCCTCAAAGAGGGCCTGCTGTGTCACATCCTTCTTGTGCTTTGACTCTCTTAGCTCTTCTTCTGCTCCTGTGTGATGAAAATGCTCTACTTTTCAAGGATTCCACTGCCAGGTCTGGCCCAGCCACACCACACTCATGTCTCAAGGTTAACTGACTTGACACCTTAATTCTCCGGCAAAATCCCACCATAGCAGTATTAGGATTAGTGCTTGTTTGAGTATCCAGGAGATGGGAATCTGGGGAATCAGACTACAGCTGTCTCAGTCAGCTCCAGCTGCTATCACAGAATACCACAGACTGGGTGGCTTCATCACCAGGCATTTCTTTCTCATCGTTCTGGAGGTTAGAAGTCCAAGATCAGGATGCCAGCGTGCTCAAATTCTGGTGGGGGTCCTCTTCCTGGCTTGTAGTCAGCCACTTTGCTATATCCTTACATTTTGAAGAGGCATGGAAGAACAAATTCTCTTTTCTCTAATTAGAAGGGTGTTAATCTCATCATAGGGACCCAACCATCATGACCACATCTAAACCTAATGACCTCCCAAACAGTCTACCTCCAAATATCATCCCATTGGGATTTAGGGTTTCATCGTATGAATTCTCAGAGGTCACACATATTCAGTCCGTTCATAATGCCTGCCAACCACGCAAGCCAGAAGTGGGCAGCAGCATTACGACAGGACCAACTGGGATAGCCCTGAAGGACAGTAGAGAAGGGAAATCCTCCCAGAGGAAAGAACGTTGAGCGGTGCTCCTGTGTGGAGGAGAGATGGCCAGACTTTTAAGTGTGTATCCTTGTACAGGCTGTGTCTCATTTATTGGCCGAATGATTAGGGACTTTGAGGACACATGATTGAAAATCTGTGACAAGGAGGTCTGGGGAAAAATATGTGGACAGACCTGTCAGAGTGGACTTCCAATGTGAAGATATTTGAGTCTCATGAGAGTTCTCACCAAAGGGTAACCTCAGCAGAGCAGAAGTTTAATAATCTGAAGGATAAGGTACCTATTATCTAGATATTAATCAGCCTCTCTCCCCAACACTTGTGTCACAGCCTCATGAGCTCACAAAGTGGCCAAAGTGACAGGGATAGAGATTATGCTTCAGAGGCATGGACTTCCACTCACCAAGGCCAACCTGGCTACAGTCGATAGAGACATCAGACAGCCAAGGGTCCCTGGCTAAACTCCACTTTCAAGCCTAAAACGGCCTGAAGGTTGAAAAACCAGACTGCTGGTCCTGAATGAAACCCACAACCCAGAAAAAGAATTGTCACTGTTTGCTTGCCCTTTCCCAACTGAGTCTTTCTCATTAATGCTGCCGGGTACCCGGGGGAAGAGGGTAGAGCCATGGGAAAGTTGTGTCTCGTGCAGGAGTGGCAATGGGGAGCCTGGTCTCTTCGGTTTCTGTGTGATGGCACAGAAACAATCTGGGAGGTGGGGGCCTGTTAGCAGGATTCCCTCTCGCTTTGCTGAGAGTTCCTTCCTCCCTAATTTTCCTTTTCAACCGACACATTCCCCTCCTCACCCTGTAATGTGTGCGTGAACTTAATCTTTCCTGGTCATGTGACAAGAACTCAGTTTCAGCTGAACTAAGGAACAAAATTCTGTAACATAGTCATTGCTGAGTGTACAATCTGCCAGAAACAGAGAGCAACACTGAGTCTCTTATATGGCACCTGTCTCCAGGGTGATCAGCTAGCCACCAGATGGCAGGTGCTTACATTGGACCACTTTCAATATAGAAGGGACAGGGCTGTGTTCTTACTCAAATAGACACATATACTGACTATGGATCTTCATTTCCACCCACAGTAATTTGAGAAAATCAACATTTGTGCAGTTAGAAAAAACGCCTTATTTACCACCAGGGTATTCCACACAAGGCACTCACAGATAATAAAGTGTAGCGATGGGCCCACCCTCATAGGAATTCACTGGTCTTAATATTTATATTCCCTTATCCTCCATCAGCTTTTTTTTACGGTGGTACTGTCTTACCCACACTGGCCTTGAACTCCAAATCAGGCTCCCGAACTGTCCCACATTATCTGAAGATGACTGGATCAACAGAACTGTGCAATGGACTTGTGGAACTCAGTTATAGTGCAAGCTAGGTGGCAATGTCTTGCAGATCTGAGAAATCACTTAGGAAGCAGTGTTTGCTGTATATTTGCATCCAACACAGTTTGCTTTCTTTCCCATAGTCAGGATTCTTGGTCCTAGATTCAAGGGGTATAACTGGGGGTGTCTCTACTCATACTCTATACCCCAGTGACCCACTAGCAAAAACGTTTCCTATTCTCCTGACGTTAGGCTCTGCTGAACTAGAAGTCTTATTTCCAAAGGAAGAAATGCTTTCACCAAGGGACACAACAGTGATTCCATTGAAAAGACATTCATACTGCCAGCTGGCCATTTTGGTCTCTTCATCACTTTCCATCTAGAGGCAAAGGAGGGGGTCATCCACTGGCTTGGGATGATGAACCTGACGATCAAAGGGGGATTAGTTGCACTACACCAGGAGCTAAAAAGGAGTATGTCTGCTGTGTCTAGAGAGCTTCTTAGTCCTCCCATGTTTTCTGATTACACTTAATGGAAAAGTACAGCAACCCAATCCAGGCAGGTATCTAATGGTCCTTCAGACTGTTCAGTGATGAAGGTTTGAGTCAACCTGCCAGGTCAAGCACCATGACCAGATGACATACTATCTCAGGGCAAAGGGAATGAAAAATGGGTAGTGAACGAAGGCAGTTATAAATACCGGCTACAACTATGCAGAAACCATGACCGTAATACTAAATACATTGGTGATTTATCAACTCGTATCCCTCCTCAGGTGGAAGAATAAACCAACAAACAAACCACAAAAGTCTAGCTTTTACTAACAGAAATTTATTAAATTTCAAAAGCTCCATCTTTTCTTAGCTTCAGGAAGGGAATTTTCTTCACTTCAAAATTACAGGAAGCTTCAGCAATGACCTACTCCACTTTACAGCACATATCCTTGTTTCTCCTTGGTATTTGCATTAACACAATTATTTTTTCTCATGTGCTTAACTTTGCTGAGATGGCAGTGGGAATCTACTCTTTTAGCACCTTCTTGAGTTGCTGAATTAAGGCAAAATTTTTAAGCCTGAAATGAAAGAGGTATTCCATTAACCAGAGGATACCCACGGCATCTGTGATATGTAAGAGGTAGTAGTGGATACAAAACAGACTTTACAATGTACATGCAGATAGAAAATGCATGCTCATGGAAAATACAAACTAGAAAATGACCAAGTGAGTCACCTGAGGGCCCACACCCACTCCCAGATTATCATAAATTTGGAAGGCTCCATGGCATTGGAAAAAGGGGTTAGAATAAGAAAATATCAACCTAAATGCTTGGGGAAATAGCATGAACTATGACTGAGGGCCAGGGATTAGGAAGAACAAGGCATGATTTCTTCCTGCTCCTGTCCCAAACTGGGCACAAGTGCTTAAAACAATAGAAGAGTTTTCTTTTGGCACCCACCTTGCTGCTTCCTTAATGGCAAATTTAACAAGTTGTTTCTTGACTTCCATAGATCCTTGTACTTCATCAAGCAAAATGAAAATTCTTTCATAATCTGAAGGTATTAAAAAGTTAGTATTTCTAAAATTATGAAAATGAAATATACTTCAATCTCATTGCATCCACTACCGCAGTATACATTTTTTATGGGCTACAATGTTACACAGTGTTTGTGTTTTGAATGCTTAAATCACATCAGTATATTACTAAGGAAACTATTGTGAACACTAACAAAGAAAAACACCTAAGCAGATGTATTTGAAATTTTCAGTGAAATTAAATAGAAGCCCTGCTAAATTACAGACAGATCCAATTTAGCCAAACGATGAGCTCAAGGGGAAGCATAATTGTGTTCTAAATCATAGAATGGGAGACTTCTCAGGCTTTCATTGATAGACATTCTTGCACTACTTACTTCGCCCACACCTTCGAACTTCTTTCATCAATTGATGTTTTATATCATCATTAACTTTCTTTGCCATAGCAGGAGATATTCGTGCTGTATTTGGCACAGTTTCCACCGGAGACCTTGCTGTGACTGGTGAATCACCTGCAGAGACACGGTAATTTTGGGCTCCTACCACAAATTCGTTACTATCAGGTTTGTAAAGCAGCTTATCTTTGCTGAGACTAGTGCAGTTGTAAGACAAAGAATCTAATGTGTTGGGTTGCATACAATCTCCTGTCATATTTATAAGCTCTGGGGGAGCAGAATCTGACAGGAAGCCATCAGGTGGGGTCTGACCATTTTCTATCTCCTTCTGGATATCATGAATGACAGTAGCATCTGGAATCCAAATGGAAAAATTGAGCTGCGAGGTAAGTGCATTATGTCACTCCCACAGGTATATCCCTCGGAGGCTCAGTTTCGAGGAAGTTATGTCAGAAAGCAGGAGGATATACAAGGTGGCGATACCAGACCCCTCGGACTGAGCTCAAAAAAGACAATACAACAAAACCACCTGCTTCCCTGCTGGACACTATGCATGCATACAGAAACCAAGTAGGACAGTACAACCAATACACAAACATACACGGATCCCTGCTACTCCTGGATGAAGCACCAGCTCCTGACAGATTACTACGCCCTGGTGGAACCGCTGATGAGGAGTTATCAGGTGCTTGTTGGCCATTATTCGTCTTCTTCTCATGGACATTGTGAGAGATGGTGGCATCTGGAAAAAAAATGAAGAGGCCGAGCTGTGAGGTTAAGTGCATAATGAGAGCCCCACAGGTATATCCCGCTCATGCTCAGTTTCTAGAAAATTATCCCATAAAGCATGAGTATATACCAGGTGGCAACCAGAGAACCCTGAAATTGAGGCAAGAAAAGATAATACAACAAAACCACCTTCTTCCCTTGATGACACTATGCCCGCATATGGAAATCAAGTAGGACACAACTTATAAGGAAACATACACAGATCCCTGGTACTCATGGCTACGATGCTAGCCCCTGTCATATTAGTAAGTCCTGATGGAAGAGTTGACAAGAAGTTTTGAGTTGCTGGTTGGCCGTTTTTTATCTTCTCTTCATGGACATTGTGAGTGATGGAAGCATCTGGAAATCAAGTGAGGAGGAGGAGGTGTGAGGTATGTGCATTATGTGAAGCCCCAGGTATATTCCACTGAGGCTAAGTTTCAAGGAAATTATGCCATAAAGCAGGAGATGATGTGCCAGGTGACGATCTGAAAACCCTCAAACTAAGCTAACAAAAGATAATACAACAAAACCACCTTCTTCTCTTTATGACACTATGCATTCATATGGAAACCAAGTAGGAAGTACAACTAGTAAACAGATCCCTCGTAGTCTTGGCTATGATACCAGCTCCTGCCAAATTATTAAGCCCTGGTGTAACAGTGGGCAGGAAGTTATCAGGTGCTAGTTGGCTGTTTTTTATCTTCTTTTCACCGACATTGTGAGTGATGGTAGCATGTGGAAACCAAATGAGTTGTGAGAAAAATACATGATGTCAACCCTACGGGTATATTCCCGATGCTCAGTTTCTAGGAAATCATTGCATAAAGCAAGAGGACAGGCCAGGTGGTGATCTGAAAACCCTAAATTCAGGTCACAAAAGATAATACAACAAAATTGCCTCCTCCCTTTCATGACACCATGCATGCATGTGGAAACCAAGGAGGACAATCCAACTTATAAGCTAACATATACAGATCATTGCTACTCATGGTTGGAATACCAGCGTTTGCCATGTTAATAAGCCCTGGTGGAACAGCTGACAAAATATTATCAGGTGCTTGTTGGCCATTTTCCATCTTCTCTTCACGGACATTATGAGTGACAGTAGCAACTGGAAACCGAGAGAAGACGTCAAGCTGTGAGGTCAGTGCATAACAACAACCCTGCAGGTATATCCCTCTGATGCTCAGTTTTTAGAACATGATCTCATTAAGCAGAAGGATATACCAGGTGGCTATCTGAGACCTCCCAAAATGAGCTCACAAAAGATAATATAATAAAACGACCTTGTTTGATGTATGACCCTGCATGATTATGGAAACCAAGTAGGAAACCAAGCAGAAACAACCAGGAAACATACACTGAGCCCTGGTACTCATGGGTGGAGTACCAGCTCCTGATACATTAATAAGCCCTGGTGTAATGGATGACAAGAAGTTCTCAGGTGCTCTTTGACCATTGTTCATCTTCTCTCCATGGACATTGTGAGTGACTGCAGCATCTGGAAACCAAAGAACGTGGTTTTGCTGAGAGGTAAGTGCATTATGTCAACTACATAGGTATAACACTCTGATGGGTAGTATCTAGGAAATTATCTCATACAGAAGAAAGATATACCAGCTAGTAATCTGAGAACCCTAAAATTGAGGCATGGAAAGACAGGAAAAGAACACTACATCCTTCCCTGCTTACACTATGCATGCATGTGGAAACCAAATAGGACAGTACACCGAGTGAACAAACTTACACTGATCCCTGGTACTCGTGGATGAAACACCAGCTGCTGCCATATTAATATGTGTAGGGGAAACAGTTGGGAAGACTTTATTGGGTGCTCCTTCAGCATTTTTAATCTTTCCCTCATGTACACTGTGAGTGACGATAGCATCTGGAAACGAAATGAAAAGGTTTAGTTTTGAATTAAGTGCATTATATCATCCCCACAGGTATATCCCCCTGATGCTCCGTTTCTAGAAAACTATTTCATAAAATCAGAGATGATATGCCAGAAGGCCATCTGAGAACACTCAAATGCAGCTCATGAAAGATAATACAACAAAATCACCTTCTCCCTTTCAGAGCACTAGGCATGCCTATGAAAACCAAGTAGGATAGTACAAATGAATAAGCAAACATACACTGATCCCTGGTTCTCATGGCTGGGAGACCAGCTGTTGCCAAATAAGGAGGTCCTTGGAGAACAGTTGACAAGACGTTATTAGGTGTTGGTTGCTTGTTTTCCATGTTCTCTTTGTGGACATTTTGAGTGATGGTAGCATCTGAAAACCAAATGAAGAGGTTGAGCTGTGATGAAAGTGCATTATGTCAACCGCACAGGTATATCCCTCTGATCCTCAGTTTCTAGAAAACTATCAAAGAAATCAGGGTAGTATATGCCACGTGGCTATCTGATACCCCTCAAATTAATGCTAGGAAACTATATACAACAAAATTAACTTGTAGCATTCATCAAACTATGCCTCCTTAGGGAAATCAAGTAGGACAGTACAACTAAGAAGCAGATATACACAGACCTCCTGTCCTCCTGGATGAAATTCCAGCTGCTGCCATATTACCAAGACCTGGTGGAGCAGCTGACAACACGTTGTCAGTTGCTAGTTGGATGTTATTTATCTTTACTTCATGGATATTGTGAGTGACTGCAGCATCTGGAAACCAACAGAAATGGCTGGGCTGTGAGGTACGTGCATCCTGTGAACGTCACAGGCATATCCCTCTGATGCTCAGTATCTAGGACATTATCTCATAAAGAAGAAGGACATATGAAGTAGCAGTCTGAGAACCGTAAATTTGAGGCCAGTAAAGATAGTACAACAACACTGTATTCTTCCCTCATGACACTACGCATGCATATAGAAATCAAGTAGGACAGTATGCCAAGTGAACAAACTTACACTGATCCCTGGTACTCATGGATGAAACACCCGCTGCTGCCATATTAATATGTGCTGGTGGAATAGCTGAGAAAACATTCTTGGGTGCCGTTTGGGCATTTTTAATCATCTCCTCATGGACATTGTGAGTGGTGGTAGAATCTGGAAATGAAATCAGGAGGTTCAGTCTTGCGTTATGTGTACTACGTCAACTCTACAGGTATATCCTCCTGATACTCAGTTTCTAGAAAACGATTTCAAAAAGCTGAAGAGGATATGCCAGATGGCGATCTGAGAACACTCAAATGCAGCTCACTGAAGATAATACAATAAAATCACCTTCTCCCGTTCAGGACACTAGGCATGCCTATGAAAACCAAGTAGGATAGTCCAAATGAATAAGCAAACATACACTGATCCCTGGTGCTCATGGCTGGGAGACCAGCTGTTGCCAAATAAGGAAGTCCTTGGAGAACAGTTGACAAGACGTTATTAAGTGTTGGTTGGTTATTTTCCATCTTCTCTTTGCGGACATTTTGAGTGACGGTAGCATCTGAAAACCAAACGATGAGGTTGAGCTGTGAGGTAAGTACATTATGTCAACCACAGAGATATGTCCGTCTGATCCTCAGTTTCTAGGAAATTATCAAAGACAGCAGGGTTGCATATGCCATGTGGCTATCTGATACCCCTCAAATTGACACTAGGAACGTGTATATGACAAAATTAACCTGTAGCATACATCAATATATGCCTCCTTAGGGAAATCAAGTCGGACAGTACAACTAAGAAGCAGATCTACACAGACCTGTGGTTCTCGTGGATGACATTCCAGCCGCTGCCACATTACCAAGACCTGGTGGAGCAGCTGACAAGACGTTGTCAGGTGCTAGTTGGCCGTTATTTATCTTCGCTTCACGGACATTGTGAGTGACTGCACCATCTGAAAACCAACAGAAATGGCTGGGCTGTGAGGTAAGTGCATTATGTCAACCACAGCATACCCCTCTGATGCTCAGTATCCAGGAAACTATCTCATTAAGAAGAAGGACATACCAAGTGGCAGTCTGAGAACCTTAAGATTAAGGCCAGGAAAGATAGTACAACAAAATTACATTCTTCCCTCATGACACTATGCACGCATAAGGAAACCTAGTAGGATAGTAAACCAATTGCACAAAGGTACACTGATCCCTGTTGCTCATGGATGACACAACAGCTGCTGCCATATTAATAAGTGCTGGGGGACTAGCTGGGAAGATTTTATCAGGTACTGCTTGGGCATTTTTAATCTTCTTCTCACAGACATTGTGAGTGATCGTAGCATTTGGAAATGAAAAGAAGGGGTTCAGTGTTGAGGTATGTGCATTATGTTAACCCCACAGGTATATCCTCCTAATGCTCACTTTCTAGAAAACTATTTCATAAAGCCAGAGAGGATATGCCAGATGGCAATCTGAGAACACTCAAATGCAGCTCACGAAAGACAATACAACAAAATCACCTTCTCCCATTCAGGACACTAAGCATGCCTATGAAAACCAAGTAGGATAGTCCAAATGAATAAGCAAACATACACTGATCCCTGGTGCTCATGGCTGGGAGACCAGCTGTTGCCAAATAAGGAAGTCCTTGGAGAACAGATGACAAGACTTTATTAAGTGTTGGTTGGTTATTTTCCATCTTCTCTTTGCGGACATTTTGAGTGATGGTAGCATCTGAAAACCAAATGAAGAGGTTGAGCTGTAAGGTAAGTACATTATTTCAACCCCACAGTTATATCCCTCTGATCCTCAGTTTCTAGGAAATTATCAAAGAAACCAGGGTAGGATATGCCACGTGGCTCTCTGATAACCCTCAAATTGATGCTAGGAAACTATATCCAACAAAATTAACTTGTAGCATTCATCAAACAATGCCTCCTTAGGGAATCCCAGTAGGACGGTCCAACTAAGAAGCAGACATACATAGATCTCTGGTCTTCGTGGATGAAATTCCAGCTGCTGCCAAATTACCAAGCCCTGGTGGAGCAGTTGACAATATGCTATCAGGTGCTAGTTGGCCATTATTTATCTTTGCTTCATAGACGTTGTGAGTGATCGCAGCATCTGGAAACCAAATGAAGTGGTTGAGCTGTGTGTTTCATGCATTATGTCAACCGCAGAGGCATACGCCTCTGATATCCAGTATCGAGGAAATTAACTCATAAAGAAAGACATACCAAGGAGCAGTCTGAGAACCGTAAAGTTGAGGCCAGTAAAGATAGTACAACAACACTGTATCCTTCCCTCATGACACTACGCATGCATATAGAAATCAAGTAGGACAGTACGCCAAGGGAGCTAACTTACACTGATCCCTGGTACTCATGGACGAAACACCCGCTGCTGCCATATTAATATGTGCTGGTGGAATTGCTGAGAAAACATTATTGGGTGCTGTTTGTGCATTTTTAATCTTCTCCTCATGGACATTGTGAGTGATGGTAGAATCTGGAAATGAAATCAGGAGTTTCGGTTTTGAGTTATGTGTACTAGGTCAACTCTACAGTCATATCCCCCTGATACTCCGTTTGTAGAAAACGATTTCATAAAGCTGAAGAGGATATGTCAGATGGCTATCTGAGAACATTCAAATGCAGCTCACAGAATATAATACAACAAAATCACCTTCTCCCGTTCAGGACACTAGGCATCCCTATGAAAACCAAGTAGGATAGTCCAAATGAATAAGCAAACATACACTGATCCCTGGTGCTCATGGCTGGGAGACCAGCTGTTGCCAAATAAGGAAGACCTTGGAGAACAGTTGACAAGACGTTATTAGGTGTTGGTTGGTTATTTTCCATCTTCTCTTTGCGGACATTTTGAGTGATGGTAGCATCTGAAAACCAAATGAAGAGGTTGAGCTGTAAGGTAAGTATATTATGTCAACCCCAGAGGTATATCCGTCTGATCCTCAGTTTCTAGGAAATTATCAAAGACAGCAGGGTTGGATATGCCCTGTGACTATCTGATACCCCTCAAATTGATGCTAGGAAAGTGTATACAATAAAATTAACTTGTAGCATTCATGGATCTATGCCTCCTTAGGGAAATCAAGTAGGACGGTAAGACAAACAGCAGACCTACACAGACCTGTGTTCCACGTGGATGAAATTCCAGCTGCTGCCATATTACCAAGACCTGGTGGAGCAGCTGACAAGACGTTGTCAGGTGCTAGTTGGCCGTTATTTATCTTCGCTTCACGGACATTGTGAGTGACTGCAGCATCTGGAAACCAACAAAAAAGGCTGGGCTGTGAGGTAAGTGCATTATGTCAACCACAGCATACCCCTCTGATGCTCAGTATCCAGGAAACTATCTCATAAAGAAGTGGGACATACCAAGTAGCACTCTGAGAAACTTAAGATTCAGGCCAGGAAAGATAGTACAACAAAACTACATTCTTCCCTCATGACACTATGCACGCATATGGAAACCTAGTAGGATAGTAAACCAATTGCACACAGGTACACTGATCCCTGTTGCTCATGGATGACACAACAGCTGCTGCCATATTAATAAGTGCTGGGGAACTAGCTGGGAAGCTTTTATCGGGTACTGCTTGGGCATTTTTAATCTTCTTCTCACAAACATTGTGAAAGATCATACCATCTGGAAATTAAATAAAGGGGTTCAGTTTTGAGTTATGTGCATTATGTTAACCCCACAGGTATATTTTCCTGATGCTCACTTTCTAGAAAACTATTTCAGGAAGCCAGAGAGGATATGCCAGGTGGCGATCTGAGAACACTCAAATGCAGCTCACGAAAGACAATACAACAAAATCACCTTCTCCCTTTCAGGACACTAGGCATGCCTATGAAAACCAGGTAGGATAGTCCAAATGAATAAGCAAACATACACTGATCCCTGGCGCTCATGGCAGGGGGACCAGCTGTTGCCAAATAAGGAAGTCCTTGGAGAACAGTTGACAAGGCGTTATTAAGTGTTGGTTGGTTATTTTCCATCTTCTCTTTGCAGACATTTTGAATGATGGTAGCATCTGAAAACCAAATACAGAGGCTGAGCTGTGACGGAAGTGCAGTGTGTCAACCCCAGAGGTATATCCCTCTGATCCTCACTTTCTAGGAAATTATAAAAAAATCCAGGGGTTGATATGTCACGTAGCCGTGATACCCCTCAAATTGATGCTAGGAAACTATATCCAAGAAAATTAACTTGTAGCATTCATCAAACAATGCCTCCTTAGGGAAACCAAGTAGGACAGTACAACTAAGAAGCAGACATACACAGATCTCTGGTCCTCGTAGATGAAAGTCCAGCTGCTGCCATATTAGCAAGACCTGGTGGAGCAGTTGACAAGAGGTTATCAGGTGCTGATTGGCCATTATTTATCTTCTCTTCAAGGATTGCATGAGTGACTGCAGCATCTGGAAACCAAATGAAGTGGTTGAGCTGTGTGTTTCATGCATTATGTCAACCGCACAGGCATACCGCTCGGATGCTCGGTATCGAGGAAATTATCTCATAAAGAAAAAAGACATACCAAGTAGCAGTCTGAGAACCATAAAGTTGAGGCCAGTAAAGATAGTACAACAACACTGTATTCTTCCCTCATGACACTACGCATGCATATAGAAACCAAGTAGGACAGTACGCCAAGCGAGCAAACTTACACTGATCCCTGGTACTCATGGAAGAAACACCCGCTGCTGCCATATTAATACGTGCTGGTGGAATACCTGAGAAGACATTATTGGGTGCCGTTTGGGCATTTTTAATCTCCTCATGGACATTGTGAGTGATGGTAGAATCTGGAAAGGAAATCAGGAGGTTCAGTTTTGAGTTATGTGTACTATGTCAACTCTACAGGCATAGCCTCCTGATACTCAGTTTCTAGAAAACTATTTCATAAAGCTTAAGAGGATATGCTAGATGGTGATCTGAGAACATTCAAATGCAGCTCATGAATGAGAACACAACAAAACCACCTTCTCCCATTCAGGACACTAGGCATGCCTATGAAAACGAAGTAGGATAGTATAAATGAATAAGCAAACATACACTGACCCCTGGTGCTCATGGCTGGGAGACCAGCTGTTGCCAAATAAAGATGTTCTGGTAGAACAGTTGATAAGACGTTATTAGATGTTGGTTGTGTATTTCTCATCTTCTCTTTGTGGACATTTTGAGTGACAGTAGCACCTGAAAACCAAATGAAGAGGTTGAGCTGTGAGGTAAGTACATTATTCAACCCCAGAGGTATATCCCTCTGATCCTCACTTTCTAGGAAATTATCAAAGAATCCAGGGGTGAATATGCCAAGTGAAACATCTGATACCCCTCAAATTGAGGCTAGGAAAGTACATACAACAAAATTAACTTGTAGCATTCATCAAACTATGCCTCCTTAGGGAAACCAAGTAGGACAGTACAACTAAGAAGCAGACATACACAGACCTCTGGTCCTCGTGGATGAAATTCCAGCTGCCGCCATATTACCAAGACCTGGTGGAGCAGCTGACGAGACGTTGTGAGGTGCTAGTTGGCCATTATTTACCTTTGCTTCAGGGATATTGTGAGTGATTGAAGCATCTGGAAACCGAATGAAGTGGTTGAGCTGTGAGGTAAGTGCTTATGTCACTGCCACATGTATGTTTTTCTGACAAAGAGATTTAAGCAATTGTTCCATCACACAAGAGGCTGTATCAGGTGGCGATCTGAGACCCTTCAAGTTTAGGTCGGAAAAGATAATACAACCAAAGCACCTTTTTTCCTGCATGATACTGCATGTTTATGGAAACCAAGTAGGACAACGTAGTTAGTAAATGAACATGCAGAGATCCCTGGTACTCAGGGGTTGAATACCTGCTTCTGTGAAGTTCCTAAGCCCTGCTGTAATAGTTGACAAGAATTCATGAGGTGTTGTTTTGTCACTTTTTATCTTTTCTTCACAGACATTTTGAGCAATGGTAAAACCTGCAAACCACATGAAGAGTTTCAGCTGTGAGCTAAGTGCATTATATCAGCCCTATAGGTCTATCTCTCTGACGCTCAGTTTCTAGGAAATTATCTAATAAAGCAGGGGAGGATATGCCAGGTGGCCCTGTGAGAACCCTCCAATTGATCCCAGGAAAGTATATGCTATAAAACCACCTTCTACCTTTCATGAAATATGCAATCATATGGAAACCAGTGATGACACTACAACTAATTAAGAGACATACACAGATCCCTGGTACTCATGCATGGAAGAGCAGCTGCGACCATAAGACCAAGCAGTGGTGGAACAAGTGACATGAGATTACCAGTTTGGGATGGGCCATTTTCCATCTTCTCTTCATGTACATTGTGAGAGATGGTACCATCTGGAAACCAAAGGAAGATTTTGAGCTTGAAGTAAGTGAATTACGTCAATGCCACCGGTATATCCCACTGATGATCAGTTTCTAGGAAATTATCCCATAAAGCAAAAGAACACATCAAATGATGATCTGCGGCTCCTCAAATTGAGGCCAAGGAAGACAATTCACAAAACAACCTTCTTCCCTTCATGGCACTATGCCTGCATATGGAAACCAAGGAGGACAGTACAAGTAAAAAATGAACATACACAGATCCCTGGTACTCATTGCTGGAATACCAGCTCCTGCCATATTATTAAACCATGCTAGAATATTTGGCCAGACGTTATCCTGTTGTGGTTGGTCATTTTCCATCCTTTGTTCATGGACATTGTGACTGAGGGTGGCATCTGGAAAACAAATGAAGAGGTCAAGATAGGAGTAGGTGCATTATGCCGCCCCCACAGGTATATCCCTCTGATGTTCAGCTCCTGAGAAATTTTTGCACAAATCAAGATGACAAGAGCGGCATCTGGGACCCCTCAAACTGATATCAAGAAAGATAATACAACAAGATCTCCATCTCCCCTTCCTGACAATATACATGCATATGGAAACAAAGTAGGAAAATCCAACTAAAAAGTGAACATACACAGACCATCAGTACTCATGGCTGGAATAGCAGCTCCTGCCACATTAGTAAGTCCTATTGGAGCAGTTGATGAGATGTTGCCATGTTGGGGTTCGCCCTTTTCCATCTTCTCCTTAAGGACATTATAAGTTTCGGTAGCATCTGGAAACCAAATGAAGAGCTGTGAGTAAGTGTATTATGGTAACTCCACAGGTATATCTGTGCTCAGTTTCTAGGAAATTATCTCATTAACCAGAGGATATACCAGGTTGCCATCTGAGACCCCTGAAATTGCGGCCTGGAAACATAGTATAACACAACCACCTCCTACCTTTTTTGACACTATACATGCATATGGAAACCAAGTAGGACAGTAATACTAACAAACAAACTTACCCAGATCCCTGGTACTCATGGATGAAATACCAGCGCCTGCCATATTAATAAGTCCTGGCTGAAGTGTCAACAACACGTTGTCAGGTGCTGGTTGGACATATTCCATCTTCTGTTCATGGACGCTGTGAGTGATGGTAGCGTCTGGAAATCAAAGGAAGAGGTTGAGCTGTGAGGTAAGTGCATTAGGCCAAACCATACGTATATCCCTCTGATGCTCACTTTCCATGAAATTATTTCATAAAGCAGGAGGATATATAAGGTGGTGTATATATCTGGGGCCCCTCAGATTTAGTTCAGAAAATATAATACAACAAAACCACCTGCTTCCCTTCAGAAGGCACTACGCATGCATATGAAAAGCAAGTAGGGCAGTACAACTTATAAGCGGACATATAGCGATCTCTGGGACTCATGGCCGGAATAGCAGTTGCTACCATATTACAAAGCCCTGTGGAATCAGTTGACAAGACGTTACCATGTTGGGGCTGGCCATTTTTCATTCTCTCTTCATTGATATTGTGAGTGACGGTAGCATATGGAAACCAAATGAAGAGTTGAAGCTCTGAGGAAAGTGCATTATGTCAACCCCACAGGTATATCCCTCTGGTGGTCAGTTTCTATGAAATTAACCCATAAAGCAGGACATATCAGGTGGAAAATGAGACGCCAGAAATTCAGAACAGAAACAATAATAAAACAAAACCACCGTCTTCCCTGCATGTCACTGCATGCATACGGAATCCCAGTAGGACAGTATAACTAGTAAACAAACATATGCTGATCCCCAGTACTCAGGGGTGGAATACCAGCCCCTGTGAAATTTATAAGCCCTTCTATAATGGTTGACAGGGATCTATCAGGTGCCATTTTCTTCCTTTTTTATCTTCTCTTCATAGACATTCTGAGTAACAGTTGAATCTGGAACCCAAAGGAAAAGGTTGAGCTGTGATGTAAATGCATTATGTCAGTCCCACAGGTGTATCCCTCTGATGCTGAGTTTCTACGAAATTATCTAAGAAACAGGATAGGATATGGCTGGGTACGGTGGCTCACGTCTGTAATCCCAGCACTTTGGAAGGCTGAGGCGGGTGGATCTCGAGGTCAGAGACCAAGACCATCCTGGCCGACACGGTGAAACCCTGTCTCTACTAAAAATACAAATATTAGCTGAGCGTGGTGGTGCATGCCTGTTATCCCAGCTACTCAGGAGGCTGAGGCAGGAGAATCACTTGAACCCGGGAGGTGGAGATTGCAGCGACCGAGATAGCATCACTGCGCTCCAGCCTGGGCGACAGAGTGAGAATCAGTTTTGAAAGAAAAAAGAAAAAAAAGAGAGAGAGAGAGAAAGAAAAAAAGAGAGATAAAGGGAGGAAGGAAGGAAGGGAGGGAGGGAGGAGGGAGGGAGGGAGGAAGGACGGATGGACGGATGATATGCGGCCATCTGAGACCCCTCAAATTGAGAGTAGGAAAGAAAATACAACAAAACCGACTTCTACCATTCATGAACATATGCATGTTAGGGAAACCAACTATTCAGTACTACTAATTAAAAGACATACACAGATCCCTGATACTCATGGATGGAATACCAGCTGCAGTCATATGGCCAAGGCATAGTGGAACAGTTGACAAGACTTTATCAGTTTGGGGTTGGCCATTTTCCATCTTCTGTTCATGGACATTTAGAGTGACAGTAGCATCTGAAAACCAAACAAAGAGGTTGAGCTGTGAGGTAAGTGCATTATGACAACCTCACTGGTATATCCCTCTGATCCTTCTAGGAAATTATCTGATAAAGCAGGAGCAGACATCATATGATTCGAGTTCCATCAAATTGAGGTCGGGAAAGATAATTCCCCAAAACCACCTTCTTCTCTTCATCATATTGTGCATGCATATGGAATCGTAGTAGGATACTACATCTAATAAACAAACATACACACATCTCTGGTACTCATCACTAGAATACCAGCTCCTGTCATATAAATCTGCTGTGACCGAGCATTTGACAAGACACTATCTGGTTGCAGTTGACCATTTTCCATCCTTTCTTCACGGATATTGTGATTGACGGTAGTATGTGGAAACCAAGTGAAGAGGTTGAGCTCTGAAGTAAGTGCATTATGTCAACCCCACAGGAATATCCCTCTGATGCTCAGTTTCTAGAAAATTATCTAAAAAATCAGGAGAGAATATGCCAGGTGGCCATCTGATATCCCCCAAATGGAGGCTAGGAAAGAACATGAAACAAAACCACCTTCTACCTTTCATGAAAATATGCCTGCTTATGGAAATCAGGTAGGATAGTACAATAAAGGAGCAGACATACACAGATCTCTGGTCCTCGTGGATGAAATTCTAGGGGCTGCCAAATTACCAAGAACTGGTGGAGCAGTTGAAAAGACGGTATGAGGTGCTGGTTGGCCGTTATTCATCTTCTCTTCATGGATGTTGTGAGTCACCGCAGCATCTGGAAACCAAATGAAGTGGTTGAGCTGTGTGTTATGTGCATTACGTCAACTGCACAGGCATACCCCTCGGATGCTCAGTATCTAGGAAATTATCTCATAAAGGAGGAGGACATACCAGTTAGCAATTTCAGAACCCTAAAATTGAGGCCAGAAAAGATAATACAACAAAATTACCATCTTCCCTCATGACGCCATGAATGTATACGGAAACCAAATAGGACAGTACAACAAGTGAACAAACTTACACTGATCGCCGAAACCCAGGGATGAAATACCAGCTGCTGTAATATTAATAAGCGCAGATGGAACAGTTGGAAAGACATTATCGGGTGTTGGTTGGCCATTTTTAAACTTTTCTTCACAGACATTGTTACTGACGCTAGCATCTGGAAACCAAATGAAGAGGCTCAGTTGCAAGATAGGTGTGTTTTGTCCCATCATCCTGGTGAGACAGCTATGTATCAATCAGTTTCTATGTAATTATTCATTTCATGAAACAGAAGGACTTACCACATTGAAACACATATCAGGTCAGATTACACAATAAAACTATGTATGTATCTCTTGGCATAACGATGGTATGTAGTAAGTACGACAGTAGAATAAACATTCACAGATTTCTTGCACTCATCATTTTGTATCATCTTGCTGCCCTTTACAATTCTCATTTGATAGCGCTTTTATAGTTCACCTATACATGCCATGCTGTGCGCAGCAGGAAAGCCAGACTAAGTGAGGCCTTGTTAACTTGCCTCCTTTCTACCTCATATAATCTGAGAAAATAGAGGTGGCTATTGGAGTTGAACACTCTTATCTCCACTCCATTGTCACACATCCCTAGTTTTTACGTGATTCTACAGATCCTCCCCTTTTGTCTGGAAAAGTAACATTCCTTTTACTCCAGGTCTGTCACCTGATTCATTTATTCATTGTCTGTGGCAGGCGGCATGCCAGGAGCTGGGGATCAGCAGTAAAGAGGACGGAGAGCAACGGTCCCTGCCTTTGTGGGACTCATATCCCCACGGGGCAGTAGGACAGGACATACAAAATGAGCAAATGAAACAAGCAGCATTGGGCTGGTGTCGGGGAAGTAGTCCACATGCCTGAGGGAGACAGCAGCAGAGGGAGCCTCAGGGGCTCTGGCTCCTTGGGCAGAGCCATCTGAAGAAGTGCCATTGGACAGGGCTTGGAGGAAAAAGCAGAGCCTCCTGTGCAGAGGCAGAGGGAGAGTTCCAGATTGCGGTGAGGCCAAGGGTAGGGGCTGGAGTGGGAATGGACCGGGCACTACAGGGTGTTAGACAGAGGCAAAGAGAGCCAGGAGGAAATGGATGGGACCATTGTTAGGAGAGGGAGCGTTGAGGATGGGGTTTTAGGAAGGAAATGGCTTGCTGACATAATTTTCTAGCCACATGGTTAGAGAGTATGCTACAGATGGGGGAAGATTAGAAAGACAGCCAAGAAGATGTTGTACTACCTTGGTCAGCGATCACGGCAGTGTGCACTGGAGGGATAGAGGGAAATGGTGGGATGCAGAGTTTATACTGGGCATTGACTGCTGAACTTGATAAGAGATTGGAAATGAGAGAATAATAAAAGAATCATAAGAGAAATCATAAGTGACTTTAAGTATTTTGGGGTGACCTACTAAGTAAAAGTATACCAGGGATGTTCAGGAGGGGTTAGGCAACCGACTACGGGAGCGGAATGCTGCCAACTCTTCCTGATTCTGGTTCAGTGACCTTATGTCGACAGCTTGAACTAGGCCATGGTGGGATTATTTGTACTGTGGACAGCTGAAAACTCTAAAACCAGGACTTCTGAATCCCCCATACCTGTGAACAGCTGCTTGTTACACCTTTGTGGATGTTTCACCTAATGGACAGTGTCTTTAACTGAAACAGTTAAGGCTGTGAATAAAGTATTTTTGGAGAGAGGGAGGTCAGAAATTTGAACTTGCAGAGCTGGTTGAAATTTAGATGCCTATTAGACACCCTATAGAGATACTACACGTGTAGTTGTTTATGAGTTTGGATTTCAGGAGCAAGTCGTAGCCTAGAAGTTTAATGGTGACAGTTCTTGTAGTGTCAATCATTTAAAATTCTAAGACAGCATGACATCACCTATGGAGATAGTATATTGAAGAGAAGAGAGGCTAGGATCAAGTTTTGGTGCCCTGAAATATTTAGAGGTAGGAAGGAAGAGGAGAAAAACAAAAAAGGAGAAGGAAAATGAGCCCTTAGTAACAGAGTAAGAAATCCAGGTGTCTGGGGACCCAATAAGTTTTCCGTGCAGGAGGGCGTAAACAACTGTGTCACATGCTGCTGAGGAATTGATGTCAAAGTGCAGCAAACATGGCGACCTCGATGGCACTATTTTCATTGGAGTAGACTAAGAAGAAGCCATACTGCACTGGGTTAGAGAGGAGTGTGTGGACAGGCAGAAAGTGAGCAGACCTGTCCTCTTGTTGTGCCCACCACCTCCTTCTGCCTCAGGAACCTGCTTTATTCATCTCACGCTTGCAGCAACTGCAAATTGTTGCACCTAATTAGAACCTTGCACTTCCACTTCCAAATGCTCATATCTGTTCATCCTTCAAGGACAAGGCCACAAATGTCCTTTGACACGATTGAAGCCCAAAGATTGGATTCCCCCTCAGCTTCCTGTTGGTGTAACCACCGGGACGTACCCTGCCTTGTCGTAGAATAATAGCGTCTCTTGGATTTTCTGGAACGTCTCCTTTTCCTTCGATGCCTTCTTGCAGCCTGATTTACTTTGTCCCTCCTCATTTGCTGAAAAACATCAGTGAACATATTCCATTAAAGACAAATACAACCATTGCAAAGTCACAGTCTTCATATGCATACACAGCCATGCATTTATATCATTAAGTTTTAGCCAAAGGTCCAAGATTCATCATCACACACGATGCTCGCAGAAAAGGCAAGCCAACTAAAATGTAGTTTCAGTGAAACAAGCGAAGGCAAAATACAAGGTGTTATGCAAAGTCAAACATGGTACGGTCATGATTAATCAGAGTGCTTGGGGAATGAGTGGCTTTCATCAACAAAGGCAAGAAACATGCTTATCTCTCTAATGTAGTACACATAATTGTCTCTCAGCCCTTGTTAGGGGACAAAAAAAAGCAAATACCGTTTTTATTTTTTAGTTGTTGAAAGTTACTTATTAACAAATACTGATTAATACTATATTAGATAATACATGTAGACAGTGAAAGGTAGCATCGATTGAAAAGGTAAATTTTCCCACTTCCAACCTTATGGAGACTCAAATATGTTCATTTTGGAGCCAGGTAGGGGCAGGAGGTGCTTTGAAATATTGGTGGTAAATAAAACATGAAATTGAAGGATATACTAGGTTAACTAAAAGGTCCTGCCATCAAAAGATAACCCGAGAATATGCTCCTGCCTACTTAAAAAGTACTATTTGGCACTATTTCTACTGAAACTATAAAAAAAAATTGAAAAGGAGGGACTCCTACTACATTTTAGGAGACCAGCATCATCCGGATACCAAAATCTGGCAGCGATACAGCAACAACAAACACTTCAGGCTGGTGTTCCTGATGAGCAATGACGCAAATATCCTTAATAAAATACTGGCCAACTGAATCGTGCCGCACATCAAAAAACTTATCTACCATGAACAAGTTGGCTTCATTGCCAGGACTCAAGGTCAGTTCAGAATAGGTAAATCAATAAATGTAATTCATCACATAAATAGAACTAAAGGCAAAAACCACATGATTATCTCAATGGATGCAGAAAAGGCCTTTGATAAAATTCAACATCCCATTATATTAAAAGCTCTCGGGCAGGGCGCGGTGGCTCAAGCCTGTAATCCCAGCACTTTGGGAGGCTGACGCGGGTGGATCACGAGGTTAAGAGATCGAGACCATCCTGCTCAACATGGTGAAACCCCGTCTCTACTAAAAATACAAAAAATTAGCTGGGCGTGGTGGCGCGTGCCTGTAATCCCAGCTACTCGGGAGGCTGAGGCAGGAGAATTGCCTGAACCCAGGAGGCGGAGGTTGCGGTGAGCCGAGATTGCGCCATTGCACCCCAACCTGGGTACCAAGAATGAAACTCTGTCTCAAAAAAAATAGCTCCCAAGAAACCAGGTATTGAATGCACACATCTCCAAACAGTAAGACCCATATATGACAAACTTACAGCCAATATCATATCGAATGGGAAAAAGCTGGAAGCATTCCTCTTGAAACTTGCACGAGACAAGGATGCCCTCCCTCACCAGTCCTATCCAACATAGTATCAGACGTTCTGGCCAGGGCAATCAGGCAAGACAAAGAAAGAAAGGGTATTCAAATAGGGAAAGAGGACATGAAGTTATCTTTCTTTGCAGATGACATGGCCCCATATATAGAAAATACCATCATCTCAGTCCAAAAGTTTCTGAAGATGATAAGCAACTTCAGCAAACTCTCATGATATAAAATCCATGCGCAAAAATTGCTAGCATCCCTATATACCAAAAACAGGCAAGCAGAGAGCCAAATCATGAATGAACTCCCATTCACAATTGCTACAAAAAGAATAAAATACTTATGAATACAGCTAACAAGGGAAGTGAAGGACTTCCTCAGAGAGAACTTCAAACCACTGCTCAATGAAATCGAAGAGGACACAAACAAATGGAAAAACACTCCATACTCACGGATAGGAAGAATGAATATCGTGAAAATGGCCATACTGCCAAAAGTAATTGAGAGATTCAGTGCTATTCCCATTAAACTATCATGGACATTCTTCACAGAAGTAGAAGAAACTCTCTTAAATTTCATATGGATCCCCCCCAAAAAAGCCACAATCGCCAAGACAATCCTAAGCAAAAGGGAGAAAGCTGGAGGCATCATGCTACCTAACTTCAAACTATACCGTGGGGCAACAGTAACCAAGACGGCATGGTACTGGTAGAAAAACAGATACATGGACCAATGGACCAGAACAGAGAACTTGGAAGTAAGATCACACAATGATAAACATCTGATCTTGACAAACCTGACAAAAATAAGCAATGGAGACAGGATTCCCTATTTAATTAATGATACTGGGAGAATTGGCTAGCCATATACAAAAATTGAAACTGGGCCCCTTCCTTACAACTTATACAAAAATTAACGGAAGATGGATTAAATACTTAAATGTAACATCCAAAACTATAAAAACCCTATAAGAAAATCAAGGCAATATTATTCAGGACATAAGTTCGGCCAAAGATTTCATGACAAAAATCCCAAAAGCCATGGCAACAAAATAAAAATCTGACAAATGGGATCTAATGAAACTAAAAGCCTTCTGCAGAGCAAAATGAACAATGATCAGAGTGAACAGACAACCTACAGAATGGGAGAAAACTTCTGCAATCTGTCTATCTGACAAAGGTCTAATATCCAGAGTCTACAAGAAACTTAAACACATTTACAAAAGAAAACTAAACAACCCCATTAAAAAGTAGGCAAAGGACGTGAACAGACACTTCTCAAAAGAAGATATTCATGCGGCCAACAAACATATGAAGAAAAGCTCAACATCACTGATCATTAGAGAAATGCAAATCAAAACCATAATAAGATACCATCGCACAGTAGTCAGAATGGCGATTATTAAAACGTCAAAAACTACAGATGCTGGCAAGGTTGCGGAGAAAAAGGAACACTTTTACACTGTTGGTGGGAATGTAAATTACTTCATCCATGTGGAAGACAGTGTGGTGATTCCCAAAAGATCTAGAGGCAGAAATATAACTTGATTCACCAATCAAGTTATACTGGGTATACACCCAAGGAAATAGAAATCATTCCATTATAAAGATATATGCACACGTATATTCATTGCAGCACTATTTACAATAGCAAAGATGTGGAATCAACCCAAATGGCCATCAATGCTAGACTGGATCAAGAAAATGTAGTACACATACACAAGGGAACACTATGCAGCCATAAAAAGGAATGAGATCATGTCCTTTGCGGAAACATTGACGGAGCTGGAAGCCATTATCCTCAACAAACTAATGCAGAGAAAGAAAACCAAACAGTGCGTGTTCTCACTTTTAAGTGGGAGCTGAATGATGAGAACACACAGACACATCAGGTAGGGCAACACACGCTGGGTCTTTCTGGGGGAGGGCTGGGGGGAGAGAGTACATCAGGAAGAATAGCTAATGGATGCTGGGCTTAATACCAAGGTGATTGATTGACAGGTGCAGCAAACCACCGTGCCACACATTTACCTATGTAAGAAACCTCCATATCCTGCACATGTACCCCAGAACTTAAAATAATAGGTGAAGTAATAACGAATATGCTCCCGCATTAAATAGGAAAGAGTATCAGCGTATATTTCAAGAAATACATATAATATATATATATACCATGTAATATATAGAACGTATATAATATATAATTTTGATTTTAAAATTTTCCAAAGCATTCTCACATCCTATAAAAGAGGAGCTGAGAATGTGTGAAGACATTTTTACTGAACATTTACTACCCTCCAGGTACTTTTCTAAATGCTTTGCATGTATTAACTCAATCCTTGGCCAATCCCTATGAGTGAGGTGTGATTCTTATCTCTTTCCTTAAGAAAGCGAAAATAAAGGCACGGAAAATTAGGGAAGAGTCTAATTAATTGAGGAGTGGGAAAGAATACAGACTATGCATTCGAACCCTGGCTCTATGTCCTACCATGTGTCACGTAGGGCAAGCCATTTGACCGCTGTCAGCCTTGATTTCTCATTAAAGGCGAGATAGTGGTGACTGGGGACTCAAGATGGCGCTGTGAGAACAACCCAGGATTGGAGCCCGCGTTGAATTCGCAAACGGTGAGTCAGTGCTGCATTTCCAGACTGATCTTTGTTGCCCACAGAACGGGGAAACTCCCAAGTATAAAAAGACACGGGACGCCAGGCAGTAGGTCGGCCTGGCGAAGCCGGCAGCCGGGGCGGCGGCGGCCGGCCCTACCCAGCAATCCCCACAGGGCGCGCTTGTCCGGCTGCCTTGTTGAACCGGCAACCTGAGACTTGAGAGGGCTGGACTTGAGACTGAACGAGACTTGCACAGTAGCCCAGCCCAGGGGATTGCAGGGACAGATCGCTTGGGATACCCAGTGGGACGAACAAAACCGCGATTTCAAACTATCCCGGGCAGACGGTCCGAGACGCTCTGTGGGGGAAGGGCGTCCACCACTACGGAGGCAACCTGCCCCAACTGATATACACGCCCACTGCTGAGGCAGCCAGCCGTTGCCGAGGCAACCCGCCCCAACTGAGATACACGCCCACTGCTGACGCAGCCAGCCGTTGCCGAGGCAACCCGTCCCTACTTAGATACACGCCCACTGCTGACGCAGCCTGCCGTTGCTGAGGCAACACGCTACAACGAAGAGACTCCACCGCAGGGCGTGGCGGAGACCACAGCAGAGCCGGCAGGAACAGCGCGAATCACACAACAGCAGGGCGGAGCCTCGGCAGCCAAATAGTGGCTAGTCTGCCTTTGAGCTGGGCAGGACACCTGATCGGACATCCAAAAATAAAGCCCAAACCCCTCAACACAGAGCATTTGAGAAAAAAAAAGGGTTGTTTAATGAGCTGTGTTGCAGCAGAATCAAATATAGCAGCCTAACAGCCCTGAATGAACAACAGAGCTCACAGCTCAGCAATTAAACCCCTATAAAGTACAAACTGTCTCCTCAAGCAGCTCCCTGACCCCTCTATATCCAAAAGACTGTCATTAGGCAGGCATCATCCT